TTCAGTAATTGTAGTATGTACCTGAATTTAGAGCAGAGCTTCACATTGAAAACATCTTCTGTAACACATGATAAACTATAGGACGTTAGGCCTAATCCAACATGTGATAATAATAAAACATGAGAAAAGAACTTACACTAAAAAATTAATACAACTAAGGGGCAAAGCCCACATGTTCTACCCCTTAGTGTAGAGTAGACTTAACTGGCCAAGTGTTCAAGATACAACTTACAGAGGTGGTCAGTAATAGAGGTCAGTCTTCCATTGAGTCATTGAGTACATGAGTCCATGTCCAGTATATGAAAACTAGATCCACTTAAGGAGGTGGTCAACTATAGAGACTCTGCTGTCATCACTTGTTGCTATATATTTGTCATCTGAGAGCAATCAGATAACTACTTGTAGGTGAATGCTTTTTTTTTTTTTTTTTTGAGACTGTCTCACTGTGTCGCCCTTGGTAGAGTGCTGTGGCATCACAGCACTCTTGTGAGTGCTGTGCAACCAAGTCCAACTCTTGGACTTGATTTTCTTGCCTCAGCCTCCTAAGCAGCTGGGACTACAGGCACCCACCACAATGCCTGACTGTTTTCTTTTTGCAGTTGTCATTGTTGTTTAGCTGGCCTGAGCCAACCTCAAACCCGCCAGCCTTGTGTATGTGACTGGCACTGTAACCACTGTGCTATGGGCACCCAGCTGCCGTTTTTTTTTTCTTAAGCTAAAATTTCCCACATTTAAAACTAATGCTATGTTCTTAGGAATTGTTCCTGAATCTAAGCTAGTATTAACTGATATTTAATGGATATTTAATGGACAGCTAGATGTCCTTTATGGCTTAGAAAAGTTCAAGTATGCATCAGGAGTACGTAATTGATGTTTTGAGAACCAATTCTAGAGTAAAAGCTCTGTTAAGTTTCTATAATAAAAGCAGTTCTGCTGACCACTGATTTGAATTTCAGGGATAGTCTTAAATAAAACTGGAGTATTTTCTAAAGCACATTTGAACATTGTCTCTGTCTCTTCTTTTATCTCAGGACTTTTGTATTAGTATAGTAATGGAAGAATGGAATAGATAGCTTTTGCATGTGGGGCCTGATTTTAATGCCTGTTGTTGACCTGACAAAGGAAAAATAGCAGTTTTTAACAAGAAATGTGTGGACTGAATAGGAAGGAGTAGTGGTATATAGAACTCTGTTTTCTTTTTTAAATTCCATTTCAATTAAGATTAAATGAGAGCTTAAGCAGTATAGTTAAAGATTAAAGGGACAGAACCAGTGGAGGTGAGAATAAGAGGAAATGATTACAGGTTCAGTTTAAAGGGAAGATAAGGAACTCTCCTCTTCCTCCATGGCAGCATTCTGCTCTGTTCTATCCCAGAAGTTACCCCCATGTAATTTTATTTATACTCTATCTGAACAGCTGTTAGAGGTTTTAATATGATTTTGAATATAATGATATTAACGTCCAGTAAATAGCTGATTTTTTTTTTACACTTGTTTTGATCAGGAAATAGAGGTAGTAGTTACTGAAAATCTTAAGATTGCTGATAATATTGTAAGGAATTGTGTGAAGCTAAATTACCTACTGACAATTACTTTTTAATGTCCCTTGCTTCTTAGCCACTTGTTCTTAATCATACTGTTCTAGCATCCTATTAGAATGCAAGATAACAAAGTAAGGCTGACCCTAAAGGGCACTGTCTCTGAAAACTTTTAGTTCTTTGGGGCTGTTAAGCCTCAGGTTGACCACTGGAGAGCAAAGAAGAGGACTGTAGTTCATTGGCAGCAGACTAGAGGAGCCTCTTCAGGAACCAGCAAAAACACACAGAAGCCAAAAATTGTAGGATAACTTTATATATTTATAGAGGACTAAATATAAGGACATGACTCTTTTGAAAGGGTTATTACTTTATTAATAAGTTTTAGGAAACTGTTTTGTTTATTTATTGATCTATCTCTGTCTGTCTATCTGTCAGTACGAGGATGTCGTCCAGGAAAGATTGTGCAGATGACTGAAGCAGAAGTTCGGGGCTTATGTATCAAGTCTCGGGAGATCTTTCTCAGCCAGCCTATTCTTTTGGAATTGGAAGCACCACTGAAAATTTGTGGTACGTAAATGGATAGTGATGGAAACAACTCGTTTGAATCATGTTTTTGCTCCCGTGATTAATTAAGGATGATTAGAGAAAACATTTTTGAAGATTTTGTATAAAAGAGATCAATAGATTTTATTAAATAAAATTAAGTAAAAATTGAAACTTTCATAAAAATGTTATAGACAAGATATTTGCTGCATGTGCAATAGATTAAAAAATTGCTATTCGTAATACATGAAGAGTTCTTAGAAATAAGAAAAAGACAAAATAATATAAAAATAAAAAATAGAAAGAGATGGATCTTAATGGCTGATAAACATAAACTTCTTAGCCTCACTGGTAATTAGTGAAATGCAATTTAAAGCAAGTCCCCAATACTAATCAGATTATGAAAAAATGTCAAAGATTGATATTTAGTGTTGCCAGGAATATAGAGAAATGGGCATTTTACTAACCAGTATTGGTTAGAACAGTTATAGAATTTTAGGGGTCAGTATGGCAATGGTCTTTTAACTTTGTTGTGATAGGTTAAATTTATTTTGAAGATTATATTATTTTATAACTTGTATTTATTCTTTTAAGTCTTATAGTGGCTTTTGGCCAAAAGCAAAAACTTACGACCTTAAGTGTTATAACTAGAAAAATTGTTGCAAGGAAAGTAGTTTTTATAACATGAAGAAACAATGTAAATAATGTAACACACTAGCTAGCTTTTAGTTTGATAATGCTTATGTTCTTTGTGTTGGTTATTAGTGTTGATGACATAGCTTTTGTGGATTTAGCATCAGCTTTTGCTCAAACAGGATAGTTTGCCATATGCAAATTTTTTTTCTCCTGCATGTTTGTTAGTGAAGCACATTTATACCATGTAACTTGCAGAAGATCAGTGTGCTCTCTAAGTACTTTGAGTATCCCTCCTTTAATTAAGAAGTGATAGTTGGAATTTGGAGGGACAAAAATCAGTCCCCTCTATGAATTTAAATGTGGCACATGTAGTTAAGATTATTTGTAGTTGACCTTAAAATGATTTGAGATATTCTTTAAAATGCTATATTATAGAAATAACTTGAAGATAATAGAAGTCGTCTACTATGTATTTCTAAGTTCTTACTATGTGTCTCGGTGTTTGGCATAAAAAAGTATGAACTAAGTTAAACTACCAGATAATTAAGAGTAACTATTAGTTGCCTGTTGTTGTATAACAAATTACCCCAAAACTTTGTGACTTACAACAATATTAATTTACCATCTCACAGTTTCTATGGGTCAGGAATTTGGGTATGCAGCTTAGCAGGTCTTCTGGTTCTGGGTCTCTCACACAAGGCTCCAAGCAAGGTGTGTTCTGGGACTGCAGTCATCTGAAGGTTCAGCTGTGAAAGGAGTCAGTTCCTTATGGGCTTCATGGACTCAGGGCCTCAATTCCAAATTAGCTGTTGGCCAGAGGCCTCCCTCAGTTCTGCGCTACATGGGCTTCTTCGTAAGACAGCTCGTTTCATCAGTGAGCATGGAAGGTGAGAGAGTACAAGCAAGATAGAAGCTATTATTTTGTGTAATCTAATCTTGGAAGTGACTGCCCACCCCTCTTTTACTGTATCTTATTTGTTAGAAGCAAGTCACTAGCTATAGCCCTCACTCAAGAGTAATGGTTTTCATGGGGAAACATTGGGAACCATTTCATAGAAGTTGCTTGCAACAGTCACCAATTTTTCTAAACCTGATTTTTTCTATTTTTAGGAGATATTCATGGACAGTATACAGATTTACTGAGATTATTTGAATATGGAGGTTTTCCACCAGAAGCCAACTATCTTTTCTTAGGAGATTATGTGGACAGAGGAAAGCAGTCTTTGGAAACCATTTGTTTGCTATTGGCTTATAAAATTAAATATCCAGAGAACTTCTTTCTCTTAAGAGGAAACCATGAATGTGCTAGCATCAATCGCATTTATGGATTCTATGATGAATGTAAGTAAAAATAAAAACTAAGAAAAGTAATTAATGGAAACATTTTCTGATTTTCTGGTTCAAACGAGTTCTTTCATTTCCTTCTTTTTTTTTTTTTATCAAAATATAATCTATCAAGCATAGGGCCAGGAAAAGGAAGCTGAAACTGAGAAACTTATTACTGATTGAATTGTTTCCTTGGTCGTCTCGATTATGTTGTTTAAGATTGATTGCAGCTTATTGGACCAAAGAGTTCCTTTATTAATTAGTTTACCTAGTGAAATATCCAAGTAAAATAGAGGTCTTTATAAACAGTGGCTTCTGTGTTTCTAGTATCCATTAAGATTTTAACTTTTAGTGTTCTTGTCATATGACAGAGGTTCTTGTTTTTTTGAGACAGAGTCTCAAGCTATTGCCCTGGGTAGAGTGCCATGGTGTCCCAGGTCACAGCAACCTCAAACTCTCGGGGTTAAGCAATTCTCTTGCCTCAGCCTCCCAAGTAGCTGGGACTACGGGTGCCCACCACAGCACCCGGCTATTTTTTTGTTGCAGTTGTCATAGCTGGCCTGGGCTAGGTTCAAACCTGCCAGCCTCAGTGTATGTGGCCGGTGCCATGACAGATTTCTTATTAGCTCTATGCCACAAGAATTACTGAGTAGTTCTGTGAAACTATTTAAAAACCGACGTCTATTGGAATTTTAATCTTAATCTGTATCTGACTTCAAATCTGGAGAAATAAGGATACTGAATACTCTGGTAGCTCTTTATTTTATTCTACTATTTATCACCAATAGGAAATCACTGATTAGCTGTTGTGTAGTAGTATTTCTAATTATTACTAAATTAGCCTACTACATTTGAATTTGGTCTTTTTTGTTAGATCAAGTATGGGTGTGAGCATATGTTCAGTCAGTTATAATTTAGAATCAATTATAGTGATTTTCAAATTGAATTTATTCTTTTTATTTTTCTTTTTTAAAATATTTTTAGTGACTAAAACAAAAACACCTAAAACCGCAGTTTCTGGAAGAACTACTTATTCTTGCCCATCTTGTACCTCTTTTCAAATTTGACCTTGGCCTCCCATCAGGCCTTGCATTTAAGAGCAGGGTCTCTGAAGACATCCTTGTTGATGACAGTTTTGTCCAAGGGAATATCTACAGAGTACCTTGTGGACATGAGGTGACTGTAGTTATAAACTTTTACAAAAGACTTGATCTTTGATCGCTTGGCAGTCTTCTTGTGCATGGCAGCTGTCACTTTGCAGTTCCAGCCACCAGAGCATGGCTGTAGTGGCAATCTGAGGTGCCATCATCAATGTTCTTCACGATGACAGCTTTGTGTCCAGAGTAGCGTCCAGCCAGGACCAGCACCACTTTCCCAGGTTTCATGAATTTGCCCATTTCCGGTGCTGCCCTGGCCCTCGATCCCCAGAATGCAGATGGTGGTGGATTGGAGGACCCACTGCGAGATACCACCTGAATTTATTCTTTATTGCAGAATTCCCCTTTAGAATCTACTTTTACTTTTTCCCCTACCCTTAAATATGGCAGAATCCTGTTCAAACTTACATCTTCTTGATTCATGTAATGATTTGATGAATGTTTGAAGATGGTTTTATGTGTCGGGCACTATTCTAAACACTGAATGAATCCATATGTGGTACAGATGATCCCTCTATGGGGCTATGTTCTAATGGGAATGATTCTATACACACAATTTGATTTTATATTGCACTTTTATTTTCTGAGATGTAGTATGTGGTTTGAATTGTTTAATCAGACCAGTATAGAGGAAGTGGGTTGGAGTACATCAGACTAACAATCTTCCTAAAGCTATATCAGAAATAAAAGTGTATTCTTAAAGATGGGCACAACTATCCTTGAGGCTAGACATGACATCACATGAAACAATGTATGCAAGAGCAGTTTGTATTATTATTTTCATCAAGAGGCAACATAGCAAAATTAGTACTTGTGTCTGTTATGCCTTCACTGACTTAGTTGGACCCTATTGCCATATTAAGGAAAATCATGTTAACTCTAAAAAAATGAACAGACACGTGAAGCTATCTGTGTCTTAGTTGTTTATGCTAGGCTATGGGAAAATTACAGCTTTTGTGTTCTATTTTTACTTGCTATTAATGCTAATTGGTAATGCCCTCAAAAATGGATACAATTAAACAGTTAGAAATTTTCCTTTCTTGGAAATAAGTTTATACTATGTTACTCAGTGCATTAGAGTTAAAAGGGATAGTCTCCAGAGGCACCCTTTCATTCCAGCTTACTTATTTGGCTAGGTATTTGTGCACATATTGAAGGGGGAAGAAATGAACTAATGGCCTATTTCAAAATTGTTATAGTACAGTAATCTTAAAAGACAAAAATTGTTTATTTCATAAAACACTACCGCAGTCTTTGAAGTGTTTGTAACTGAAGGCACTGAGTGTTTATTGTATTTATTACCTTTATAAAAGTATACAAATAACACTTTGTACATCATAGAAAAGCAAAGTGCTAAATGTGCATAAAGAAGAAAATTGAAATCATTCATATCTTTAAGATAACTAATGAGAGAACAGTTTCAGATTTTTTGTTTTATCTGCTTTTTCCTTTTATAGGCAAACGAAGGTTTAATATTAAATTGTGGAAGACCTTCACTGATTGTTTTAACTGTCTGCCTATAGCCGCCATTGTGGATGAGAAGATCTTCTGTTGTCATGGAGGTAGACTAGTAAATTTGTGTTCATGAGTTTTTTTTATTGTTCTTATATTCAGAAGAGATCTATACTAATGAAGTTGCTATGGAGAAATAAAGCAGTGTTTGTGTGAACACTTAAGTGATTAAAACTGTTTTAAACATGGCTAAAACATCTTCTAATAATTATTTGTGAATGAAAATGTAACGCTTGATTTTAGAGTTTCACATATAAAGAAGATAACTAGAGTTTTGTTTGGAAAAGTATCTTTCCTTTGCCTCTAGTTTTGACAGAAAGATCCTGCTGCTATCAGTAAAAATGAGAGGATCATTTTCCTGCTTATATTCAGTGCCTTTCATCAGAATCTAAATATAATTGAGTTCAGTTTTCACACATAATCAAAAGTTCTAGGCTTCATACAATGTGTCTCCTTTAGTGCTAAGAAGAATTTTTTGGTAGCATGTTAAATTATTCTATATATGACTTATAAATTTCTAAATTTATAAAACTTATAAATTTATAAATATCTAAAAGTACATTTAAAAAATTAATGTGTCTAGCACTTGACTGGATGCCACGAAAATATGGTGTATTATCTAGTCATCTGAAAAATATATAAACTTATTGATAAATTATATTTGTGAAATAGCTAATTAAGTAATAAAAGGAACATAGATACTTCTAAGGTAATACTTACAAGACAGTAATTATTATAAGTCATAAAATGGAAAGAATTACTGGGCAAATATGTGCCAAGACATGGAATTTAAAGAACAGATAGACTTTGGAGGAGTGAAAAGGACTTAAGACAGTCTCTATATATTGTCTCTCTGGTTTAGGAAATGTGCAAAGACTGGTCCAACTATAATGTCAAGCACACATTGGAGAATGTTGGGATCAGACAATAGCCATTTGATTATTGAACATAGGAGTTTGTTGAATGATTTAACCACGTTGGGTCTTTGTACAGGGAAGTAATTAATGAAAATAGTGTAAGAAAATTAGTTTTTCATCAATATGTAAGAAGAATTAAAGTAGGAAAACACTGAAAAGATAGATGCAGTTGCCTGGGCTGAGGTAGTAAATAGTTTATTTTCTGGCAGAACATAATTTCCTATATTAATTGAAACATGTTTTCCAGTAGAAGGAATTGTAGTTCTTGCACATTAGTATAGCTAAAGATAGAAATGTAGCAGTGTGAACGTGAATGTTTAGATTCATTCCTTGTGATGTTACTTAGATTGCCTACAAGAAATAACAGCTAATGTTTATGTACCACTTTAATGATTGCAGAGTATTTTTTATGTGCTTTTTCTTACTCATCCTTCTCATCAGTCATTTATACCTTCATGAAGATGATGAACATGTTGGAGTGGGGTGGGGGAGAAAGTCTTAGGGGAACAATGGAGACATTTTAGTTTGGAAGGTCAGATGTTTAAGGTTAGGGTGGGAAGAAGTGACACAAGTAGTAGGAAGGCTTGCATTGCACTTAAGTATGTTCCTGTGAAGGGCATGGAATGATTGGAAAGAATGGTGGAATTTGATTTCCCTGATAGGGAAAAAGGGAGATGATGATATAATCATAATACTGTATTTTATCAGGGGGATTCATAACCACCCAATATGTTAACCTTTAAGATAACATTAAAAGGAATGCTTTTATCTTTTTTATCTTTTTTTTGAGACAGAGTCTCACTCTGTGCTGTGGGTAGAGTGCTGTAGCTCAAACTCTTGGGCTCAAGCAATTCTCTTGTCTCAGCCTCCTGAGTAACTGGGACTGTAGGCGCCTGCCACAATGCCCATCTAGTTTCTCTTCTCTCTCTCTCTTTTTTTTTTTT